GAAACAATTTTAACTACAACTTTTATGGTTGTTAAAAATATTGAAGGTTTAAAACTTGATGAGTGCTATTGTATCATTAGAAGTATTAATTCAATGTTTACTAGTCAGGCTATGATTGAATCAATAGCGATAAATATAGTAACATGTTATAAACAACGTATATTCATACAAAATAATAAATAGTACTTCCTTTGTTTCTAAATATAGGAGCTAGTAGAGATGTCCACTTTGATTATATCTCAATCTACTTTATCTTTCAAATTTATAATTTATAATTTTTTTTCTAAACTCTTCCTATTGAATTACACATATTAAAAGGATTTTTCATTAAGTAATTTCCAATACATATTAAGAAAAGTACTTTAAAAAAGTCTACACACATTTTTGTCCATAAATAACTAACTTAATTAATTCTTTTAATTTCTAAAAATTAATTATCTATTTTTTATATTTAAAACCGTAGGAAGTAGCTTACTATGTTGTATGACGGAGGAGGAAATGGTTTGTGCCGATATTAGAAATGTTTACGAGACAAGATGAGACTGAGACCCTGAGACCCGTCTCGATGAACAGGGACAGAACAAGGTTTTTGTCCTATGTCCCGTCCCGTCCTTGTCCTGTTGAGACTGACCCGTCCTGGTCCCGTCGAGACCGAGACAGGACCGGAACATGCCGCTTTCCTTTTTAAAAAAAAATACTATAATTTTTTAGATAATTTTGATTACATTATAACGCTTATTTTTCATTAGGTTTCTAAAAATAAAAACATTATAAAAAATATTTTGTAAAAAAACTCAATTATATAGTATAAAAAAAAGTATAAAAACAATACTGTAAAAAATATACTATAAAAAAGTTATCAAAAAAAAATATACTATAAAAAAAACACTACAATCACTCACTCACTCACTCTCTCTCTCTCTCTCTCTCGCACACATATTTATATATTATATATGTATACATGCATACATATGTATATATATACATACATACTTCTATCAGTAGATACTGTAGGGATCACTGTGAAATCTCATAGAGCTAATATGTAATTGACCTCTCAAGCTGTTGTTTTCCATACCCTAAAAAAACAAAACAAAAGAGTAAGGAAAATAATGTCCATATAATATTAATCAATTCAAACCAAAAGCGGAAAAAAATTTCCACTGATTTCCATTACTAATTTATAAAAATTAAAAAATTAAATTAAATTTATTATTTATAAAAATAACGCGTTAATTTTCCTACAAATATTTATTTAATCATATGTATTAAAAACTACCTTATTGATGAAAACTTCCTTAAAACATAAATTAATTAAATTTATTATTTGTCAAAATAACGTGTTAATTTTCCTATAAATATTTATTTAATCATATGTATTAAAAACTACCTTATTGATGGAAACTTCCTTAATACATAGAATCAATAAGGATTATTTTAAAAAATTACAAATTTAGAGAGAACACATTCTAGCCCCTCTATATAACATGAAGAATAGAACACACATCCGCCCTGTTGGATATAACATTTACCATCTATAGTGGAATCACCAAATATAGAAGTGTGCGATGTCTTCTCCATGGATTCAAAACCGTGACACTCTAATGCCATATGAAAGAATAATAAGCAGAGAGATAGAAAGATGATGATGAGAGAAGAGCGCTTTGACGATTAGAAGTATTAATTCAATGTTTAATAGTCAGATATTATGATTGAATCAGTAGCTATACATATATTAATATATTATAAACAGCATTTATTCATACAAAAATCATAAATAGTACTCCCTTTATTCTTAAATATAAGATTTAAATCCATTTTTTCTCAAATTTATAATTTATAATTTTTTCTAAACTCTCCCTATTGTTTTACACATATTAAAGGGATTGTTTTTTAATTAAGGGGGTCATTTGCAATACATATGATTAAGAGTAGTACTTTGAAAAAAATTAAAATACATTTTTTTATAAATAACTAACTTAATTAATTTTTTTTAATTTCTAAAAATTAATTATCTAGTTTTTATATTTAAAATCAAAGGAAGTAGCTTACTATGTTATATTGTCCAGCGGCTACGAAGGAAATGCTTTGTGCCGATACGCTACAAAGAAAGCTCACGATATTGAGAATATAAGGGCTTGTTTGATTTCTTGTTTTGAAAACAATTTTTTGTTTTTAAAAACAGAAAAATAAAAAAATTTGTTGGGTAATTTGTTTTTAGTTGATTGTTTTAAAAAACAAAAAACAGGAACATGTTTTTAAAAACAAAAAAACCAAAATAATTTTCATATGTTTTTTGGTTCTTGTTTTTGTGTTTTTTATTTTTTGTTTTGAAAATTTTTTAGAAATTTTTTTCTCTTCTAACCTACTATCTAGTATCTACCACTATTATTACCAGTGATAACTAAAATCTTTTTCTCTTCTTACCTATTATCTACCACTTATCATTACTAGCGATAACTATCATCTACCAAATGTGGTTTTCTACGGGTTTTTTTTCAAACATGATTTTTTAAAATTATTATCCAAACAAATTTTTTCGTTTTTTGTTTTCAAAACTTATTCTAAAAAACTATTTTATAAAATTCTTTTGGGAACGAAAAAACAAAGAACAAAAACAAACTAACTCTCTCCCTCTCTCTCTCACACATACACACATATTTATATATTATATATGTATACATGCATACATATGTACATATATACATACATACTTCTATCAGTATATACTGTAGGGATCACTGTGAAATCTCATAGAGCTAATATGTAATTGACCTCTCAAGCCGTTGTTTTCCATACCCAAAAAAAAAAAAAAAAGAGTAAGGAAAATAATGTCCTGTATAGTATTAATCAATTCAAACCAAAAGCGGAAGAAAATTTCCACTGATTTCCATTACTAATTTATAAAAATTAAAAAAATTAATTAAATTTATTATTTGTAAAAATAACGTGTTAATTTTCCTACAAATATTTATTTAATCATATGTATTAAAAACTACCTTATTGATGGAAACTTCCTTAATACATAGAATCAATAAGGATTATTTTAAAAAATTACAAATTTAGAGAGATAAAATGAATTAAAATTTTATATTAAAAATAAAAACAAATCTCTTAACAAACTCTTACATTTAAACAAGAGGAATAACAACAATATTCATTCATGGCAGTTAATCTAAATCCAAAAGAACAACAACAGTGATCCATAGGATACAATTCATGCAAATTAAAATGTTCTAATATCAAGGCTTTAGCAAACTAAATTAGGAAAACTAGATATTACCAACAAAAAAAAAAAAGGAAAACTAGAACTAGTAATAATATTGAACTGAACTCCCATAGCATCAAATAAGATCAAAGATGGGGCTCTAAAATATTCACAATCCATCGTCACCTGTTACATGTATTTGATAAAAGTTAACACAAATGATTATATATAAAAATAATAATATAATATTGCAATCATAAATGACAATACGAACCTGTCATATATTTGACCAAAGATTATATAAATGATTAAGAAATATAGTTCTTATCTTCAAAAATCCAAGTTAAATGAATTAGTGAGCAAGTCAAATATGTCTCTTCTTGTGGTAACTCCCTCTTCTAGGCTTTCTAATTAGAAGAACATTTATTTTTATTTTTTCACTTTCCCATCTAAGTCTCATATATTATAAAGGTTAAATTACACATTTGATTCTTTAATTTTATACAAAGTTTTAATTCGATTTCTTAACTTTAAAAAGTATATTTTTAGTCCTTTAACCCTAAAATTATTAGAATTAAATAATGATTTCTTGTAACAATCATGATTACTTTGAAAATTAAAATTAATATGTTAGCATTTGAGAATGTTTTATCAATATTTAAAATCTCAATGTCATCATTTTTTGTTAATAATTTTAGAATTAAAAGACTAAAATATTTTAAAGCCGAGGGACCCAATTAAACTCTGTATAATATTAAAGAACTAAATATATACTCTAGGGCGGCAACAAACACATTCTAGCCCCTCTATATAACATGAAGAATAGAACACACATCCGCCCTGTTGGATAGAACATTTACCATCTAAACTAATCACTGAAATTTTGTGATGAAAACCCGAAATTATTGAATCTGATTCCATGTTCCTAAGTTAATGTTCATAATTGAAAGTCTTATGGGAAAAAAAAAACAGATAGAGCAATACTCTATTTAATTTTAATTTTAATCGTAAAGAATTAAAGATGGTTGTAAAATAGTCAAAGTTGAAATAGTCTGCATAAAAAGCCAATATTCAAATGTCCAAAAATGTTGTTCCAATCAAACGACAAAGGACATACAAACATGCCATTTTTTGGGGGTAAATGTTCGGTAGTTTATATGCCGGACGGAAGCTTCAAGCCTAACTGAACTTCTCAATTTTTCATACGAGACATTGAAGAGCCATAAAAATAACACAAGCATAAAACTAGAATACTATGGGTGGATTGATATTATAAATAGAGGTTCAGGTTCAAACCCTCTCAAATAAATAATAAAAATAGAATAAAGAAATATTAAAAAAATTTTGCATTTTTATTTTTTGGTCACTCGTCAACATTATCCTCTCATTTAATTTATTCTGTGATTTTCCTTCTCTCTCTCTCTCTCTGTGATGTTTCGAGGCATGAAAGTATATTTTGAAATCGAATTGCTATATATTCATGTGTTAATGAATATCAAAATCTAAGAAAATGACTGAATCATTATTCTAAAAACAATGAAAGCAAAGAAGGAAATGTTGATATGATAATCATACTAAATGAGATGAAAAGGGGAAACTAAATAAAAGTGAAGAATATCATACCAGGCTAATTAGAATTACGGAGTCCCAAAAGCAAGTAAAGACCATGACAAAATAAATCTGCAGCGATATACAAGTAAATAATCATAAATTATAATTAAATACGAGTAAAAAGACATATATACTAATGATACTAGGACTAGAATGAATACCTTTACCGAAAAAGTGGCATTCAATAATATGAATCTTGAAATTTAGACTGGAAAGCGGTTTTAATGGCTGAGTCATCCCACTCCAAGTTGTCCCACCACGCTTGAGCTCCACGGATATGTCTCAACTTGGTCCTGGCAGAATTAGAATCAAAAGGTAACTTCTTCAGCTGCTCACAGTGGTGCACTTCAATGGATCTTAGGGAACGGACAGACAAGACTCTCTCGTGAATGCTCCTAAGATTTGGCAGAAGGTACAATGTCAGCTGTACGAGAGAAGGGAATATAGTATCTTTCTCATCTTCTAATCTCTCTCCCTTAATTAGTTCTTCTACTGACGAGCACTCTTCAACAACAAGTTCTTGAAGGTTTGGAGCATACTTCAACCACGTCAAATGATGTATTGTGTTGACCCCTAAAATTCTCACAGTTCGGAGCGTGGATAGACAACACGCGTCATAAACAGAAGGATCTATCTCAGCAGGTGAAAGTTTCAAGACAAGACGCTGCAGGTGCTTCATTTTTGACATGGTTGCCACTAATAATGGCATGTTAATTTGAACACCTTCAATCTCAAGGCCATATATGGAGCTTTGTAACTCGGCCGATTCAAATAATTTGCTGAGGCTAATCTCAGATTTTATTTGCACCCATATTTCCTCTAAGTTTGATGAGCGCTCCAGCTCCTGAAATTTTTTCTCTTCTCTCACATCTTTGCCAGTTTGCAGAGTTCCATGGGTCTCAAGTCTATACACTTTCAGTTGATGAAGATTTGATATCAATCCTAAAGGAGTATCAGCATCTTTAAATAAAAACAAATGAAGAACCTTCAGGTTTTTCAAATTCTTCAACCCTCTCCAAATGTCTGATGCATTCGTTAAGTTGCATTTCCACAATGAGAGATATTCTAAAAGACTCAAGACACCTAGTTCTGCGTCAGGTACGTTTTCCATTTTGTGTAGTTCCAGGACTTTTAATTGCCTCGCATGTTGGATGTTTTGTAATCCATTTATTGAAACAAATCCAACGATATCAAACTTCAATATTAATGTTATGAGATTTGTCCAGGTTCTGCCTTGTAATTGCATACATGATGTAGCACGTTCACATTTCATTATTGAAATCCTTTCAACCATTTCCCAATTTTCAACACCAGCTCGAGACATTTTCTGTGCATCTTCTTGTACTATAACCTTTTTTTTGTTTCTATCTTGATCTCGGGCAATCCATAATGCCATGTCACGGATGACATCATGCATCTTAATTGAGCACTTCAAAAAGATATCATCTTCAATATCCTCTAACAAGCATGAAACCTTCAACTTTTTAATTATGGAACCACCATGGCGACGCATATCAAGTACACTTCTCATCCCACCATTATTAAGAAATCCCTCCCCTATCCATTGATCAATGAGATTGTACACTTGAATCTCATCATCCTCTGGGTATAATGCACAATATAAGAAACACTTTTTGTGTGTTTCGTCCGGTAGTTTATCATAGCTAAACTTGAGGATAGAAAACACCTTGGTCTCCAAATCTGAAGCAATCCATGAAGAACTTGTTAAGTTATCCTTTGAGTGTTCCCATGCTTCCACACTGTCCACACCAGCCATAGCGCTTCCTACCACAGTTAGTGCAAGTGGAAGCCCTTTACATTCTTTAGCCATCTCCTCTGCTACTTTTGGAATGATAGGGTCAAATTTTAAAGTTTCCTGGCCAACTTTCATACAAAATAACTCTAACGCTTCTTTCTCTGTTAGAGTTTCAACTTTCAAATTTCTTTGAGCATTCATTTTCGCACCCAAATCCTTGATTCGTGTTGTAAATAACACTTTGGATTGAAAATTAGTTTCCTTTGGATGTGGCACTCCCATCTTTTCCAAGCCCAATGGCTCCCACACATCATCCAATAACAAAACAAACTTCTTCCGTTTTAGGACATTGTAAATCTTTGCAGCTTTTTCATCTTGGTTGCTAGAATCATTCCAACGGCCCTCTCCACCCATTACCGAATGTATGTCCTGCATAATACTATCCAAGTTGGGATTTTTGGATACCACCACCCATATAATGAAAAAATCCGATCTCTTCCCAAGTTCATTATGAATTTTTTTTAACAAGGTGGTCTTCCCCACCCCGCCCATCCCATGTAAGCCAATGATTCCAACATCTTCTTCTTCAATAATTTTCCATACCTTATCAAACGTTAATTCTAAGCCCACTGTCTCACCACAAGGCATCTCAATTGACTTAGGTAGACACCTGTGGGCAACTTGAAAATCCTTACAGAACCCTTTCCCGTCATTTTCTAGTTCATCTATATTACTCAGGATCTTGACAACATTCTTCCCTAACTTGTAGCTTGACATGCAATTCTTCGGACAACATTTACTTAGGCATTTGTTTTGAATTTGTTCATCTCCACGTAATTGAATATCTTTTATTTCCTGTGAATATAATATTGTTAATTAGCTTCACAATGTCATCGTTCTATTCTCTCAAATCAAATTTGAATGTACAGGTGGTAACTAGATCTTGAACATGAGAGCACGCATACACAGATGTGTGCGCGCATTACATGCTTGTAGACAAGAACAAGCATGCTTAGTTTGTTAGCATCAATTAAAAGCCATGGTTAAAACAATATGAGCTATAGGTTGAATTAAATAATTATATACAGGTCTTGGATAAGGAAATTAATTATCCCTGGATTATAACCGGCCACTTGAAAATAGTAAAAGCACGAAGGTGTGCATTATGTCAGACGACATTAATTGAAAATATATAACACTCGAGAGAGCAATAACTATCAAACGGATGTACTTAATGGGCTATGAAATTAAATTAAAAATTAAATAATAAATATAACATGTAGTAGTACGTACCTGTTGAATGTTTGCAACTCTATTCAGCCAGCCGCTCACGCGATGAGTCCTATGCCATTCTCCGGCATTTTCTTCTTCTTCAATAACTGCTTCCACATCTTTCTTCCTCTCTTCAAGCTTCTCCGATTTTCGTTCCAGCAACTTCAGATTGTCTTCCAAGTCGCAAAGATAAGCAGCTTTTTTGCTGAGGAAACCACAGAAGCACTTGGTGGCATCCCATATGACAGAAGATGCTGCTTCCATGATTATGGATCTGGTGATCTGACAGCCTCAGGAAGCTAAGAGATTGAAACTCACGGCGTCGTCATCTCAGAGAAGCCCCTCCATATCTGTGCTTGGAATCTCCGATTCCTTTGCTCAATCCTGAATTACATCAGAGCCCTCGTATGAGAAAATATCTAGCGGTAATATGGTATTTTCGTTGTAGGGAACCTTTCCAGCTGGAATGGCAGCCTCGTCTTTGAGGCTCCACTTCTCCGTGGGCCCACATAATATATTTCTTTCTTTTTAGCTGGGGCCCACATAATGTCGGCCCTTGATTATTTTAGGTTCAATAGGTGGGATCAATTAATTAAATAAAATGCCAGCACCAGCGTGGCTAGAGCAGGAAAACGGCCGAACCTGGAGAAATTCTTAGGTGCACCAGGAGCACCAGTTTATCTGTGCTCTATCCAATGGGAAGGCTCCAACTCAGATAATTTTAATCCCATGTGTCAGTCTATTCATTTCTAATAATATTGTTTTAAAAAAACAATATGTCAGGGTTGAATAATTTTCTTTACTACCCCCGCCCTTTTCTGGATTACTCTCCCTCCCTCTGTTCATCTCCCTATTTCCTTCTCAGATCCTGACGGCGGCGGCATCCTCCACCATTGATGGCAAAAATCCTTCATTAGCAACAATGGTGATTCTAATCTTGAACCCAGAACACAATAGGTCGTAGATCCAGTTCCATTGTGCATTTTTCCCCTTCCACCTTGCAGATCTGAATTAACAAAGCTTCTTCTCCCTCTTCTTGCTTTAATCTTAGAAAGAAAAATAGCGGTAAGAAAAAGGATTCCCCTCATGCTCTCTCTTAAGAGCCGGTTTGATTTGAGGGAAGGGAGAGAGGGATAGGAGAGAAGAGAGGAGGTTTCATTCTCGTTTTGTTTGATTAAAAAGTACCACCTAAGAATGGACTATAGTGCAAGAAGTGTCTACTCAAGAGTTCATTCTCAGTTCCCGGCCAAGGAAAAGGAAGAACTACAAGGGTCTAACAAAAAGGCCAAATACTAGGATCAGTAGTGTAGGCATGTCGCGCGGGTTTAAAAAACGATTATCCTCCACATAACAAAATCCCAACCTCCATATATGAACCCCATGCATAATCACAATATATATATTAAAAATCTCATAGTTTTTCAAAGTAAGATGATATAATTTCAAATAAAATACGACACATTTTCATTTTTTCAATAACATAATATTAGTATATTAAATTCAGCACCACAAGAAAACAAAATTTACAATAAAGCACAACTCAGGCATAATTAAATCAATATACTTCCCATTTCACCAAAATTTTTCATATAAAAAAATATACACTTTATTCACAGGCACACTTTCACAAATTAATTTGAGAAAATAAAAATAAAATAAATATCTTACAATCCAAAGCGTGTATATAAAATAAATTAACCCCTGTTACCTCTACTTCAAGCTTAACCTCACAGCTTGAAAAATAAGAGCACAAAAATATAAACTCCAAAGTATAAGATAATCTACAAATAATATAGATACAATTTAATATATATACAAATAATTAACTTAAATTACATAGAATTTATTATTATTAATATTTATACATATATTTACTATCCCAAAATTCTTACTTCAAATAACAATTTTTCTCTACCCAAATAACTCATTTAAATTATAAACATTTATAAAATATTGTTTTTATCTAATATTGTAAGAATCTCAATTTATAATTTAAGTTTTCAGTTTCAAAATTTTTCTAATAATATAGTCTTAACCTATTTTACATTTTAAACTGATTAAAATATCAATAATATATTGAGTAATCCAAATAAGTTATTTAACTTAAATTTAATTAGTAAGAACATTCTATATATCTTGAATAATATATTTTCCAACTAAAATCTTAGTTTAAAATTCTCAAAACAATCAATAAACAAATATAAACTGATTAAAATTTCAATAACATATCAAACAACCCAAATAAATTATTTAACTTAGTTTTAATCGGTATAAATATGATATATATCACAAATGACAGATTTTTCAACAAAATAAATTTGATTTTAAATACCATAGGTAATAAATAGACAAATCTGAACCAGTTAAAATTAACTACTTACTTATCTCTAAATTTCTACAGTCATATATTGTCAAAAATCATTACTTACTCTGTGCCCAACTCACAAAATTTTCTCTAAACATTATAATGATACTATTAATATAAAACTCTAAATATATAGGAAATATTTATTAAAAAAATTTAATAGAAAGAAGTGTTTTTATATACCTAAATGATCCCCAAATGCTAGCACGTCCTTGCAAAACTCTTCACTCACTCTCTTGTTCTTTTTCTTCCTGCGTCTCTCACCCTTTCTTTCTCTTCTCTACATAACACTCCCTCCTCTATTTATCCTTCTTATTTCAACCGTCCCTCATTTTTTTCTTCATCTTTCATTTACTAATCTCCCCAATTTTCTTCTTCTCTTAGATGCACTACCAATTTTTCTCCCCCCTCTTAATAACCTCCAGCTTTTCCACCGAAAATCAGTGGAATAGCTGGGTCAAATTTTTTTAATAATAAAATATTATTTTACATTATTTAATTAATATTTTTTTTAATAATAAATTTTTTTTATAATAATATTTAGGATGTTACACTTCATCACTGAAGGAACATGTAAAATATCTTTGAGATGTAAAGTGCATTTATGTTGTAAACAATTAACAGTGGTGTGACGAGTGCAATATATTGATAAGTCATATCTATCACCAATAAAAATAATCTCTTTCTACCTAATTTATTAGCAATATTATGATCATCATGAGTAACATGACTAGTTTGGATCCACAATGGAATCAGTAGTTGCAACATTCGCACTCTGTGATTTCTTATTATTCTGCTCAAAGAGATTCAAACCTTGAAAATCTTCATCAAATTGGTACCAGAAGTCAAAAGCAATACGACCTCTTTTTTCACAAATTTGATAGAAAATAGAAGAAGACTAGCACGACCTCCATGAGAGCCACCATTATTCCTGTCACGACCACAACCACAATGTCCTCCATGAGAACCATGACCGCAACCGCAACCACACTGAGCTTGAGCAATATTGGTGCTTGGTACTTCAACAACCTTATGAGCTTTCTCAATTTAGGCCTCTTGCTATAGAATAAGAGTCTTGATTTGATCAATACTATAGGGATTGGTACAAGTCGTAACAGTAGTGACAAAAGAGTCATACTTTTTAGCTAGTCCTTCCCATATTTGCTCAATATGATCCGATTCAGAGATCAAATGTCCAACAGTAGCTAGAGCATCAACAACTCCTTTGAGTTTCAGGAGGTAAGTATTGGCTGAGAGACCTTGCTTCATGGTAGTCTTGAGTTGTGTTTTGAGTTGCCGAGCCTTCACCTTCGTTTGAGAAGTGAAGTGCATCTGAAGTTTCTCCTAGATCTGGAGAGAAGTCTCAATGATTCTTGTAAGGATGCTTTCAGACATGGAGCACGACATCCATGACATGAGCAATTGATCTTGACGTTGTCAGTCAAGAAATTCAGGACTCATCTTGAATCCTTCTCTGTCATCACCGGTGGCGAGATATTTGTTCAATGGCTTAGCTTCCTTGCCAATGAATTTTTGAAAATCATGCATGTCCTCAGATAGCAGTGATGATTTGCTGTTTCCAGAGGAGATACTTATGCTCCTCTAGCTTCACTGAGACAAGATGAGTGAAGGTTACAATATCCTTCCTCTGAACAATAGTGGAATCACCAAATATAGAAGTGTGCGATGTCTTCTCCATGGATTCAAAACCGTGACACTCTAATGCCATATGAAAGAATAATAAGCAGAGAGAGAGAGAGATGATGATGAGAGAAGAGTGCTTTGACGATTAGAAGTATTAATTCAATGTTTAATAGTCAGATATTATGATTGAATCAGTAGCTATACATATATTAATATATTATAAACAGCATTTATTCATACAAAAATCATAAATAGTACTCCCTTTATTCTTAAATATAAGATTTAAATCTATTTTTTCTCTCAAATTTATAATTTATAATTTTTTCTAAACTCTCCCTATTGTTTTACACATATTAAAGGGATTGTTTTTTAATTAAGGGAGTCATTTCCAATACATATGATTAAGAGTAGTACTTTAAAAAAAATTAAAATACATTTTTTTATAAATAACTAACTTAATTGATTTTTTTTTTAATTTCTAAAAATTAATTATCTAGTTTTCATATTTAAAATCAAAGGAAGTAGCTTACTATGTTATATTGTCCAGCGGCTACAAAGGAAATGCTTTGTGCCGATACGCTACAAAGAAAGCTCACGATATTGAGAATATAAGGGCTTGTTTGGTTTCTTGTTTTGAAAATAATTTTTTGTTTTTAAAAACAGAAAAATAAAAAAATTTGTTGGGTAATTTGTTTTTAGTTGATTGTTTTAAAAAACAAAAAACAGGAACATGTTTTTAAAAACAAAAAAAACCAAAATAATTTTTATATTTTTTGGTTCTTGTTTTTGTGTTTTTTATTTTTGTTTTGAAAATTTTTTAGAAATCTTTTTCTCTTCTTACCTACTATCTACCACTTATTATTACCAGTGATAACTAAAATCTTTTTCTCTTCTTACCTACTATCTACCACTTATCATTACTAGCGATAACTATCATCTACCAAATGTGGTTTTCTACGGGTTTTTTTTTCAAACATGATTTTTTAAAATTATTATCCAAACAAATTTTTTCGTTTTTTGTTTTCAAAACTTATTCTAAAAAACTATTTTATAAAATTCTTTTGGGAACGAAAAAACAAAGAACAAAAACAAACTAACTCTCTCCCTCTCTCTCTCACACATACACACATATTTATATATTATATATGTATACATGCATACATATGTATATATATACATACATACTTCTATCAGTATATACTGTAGGGATCACTGTGAAATCTCATAGAGCTAATATGTAATTGACCTCTCAAGCCGTTGTTTTCCATACCCAAAAAAAAAAAAAAAAGAGTAAGGAAAATAATGTCCTGTATAGTATTAATCAATTCAAACCAAAAGCGGAAGAAAATTTCCACTGATTTCCATTACTAATTTATAAAAATTAAAAAATTAATTAAATTTATTATTTGTAAAAATAACGTGTTAATTTTCCTACAAATATTTATTTAATCATATGTATTAAAAACTACCTTATTGATGGAAACTTCCTTAATACATAGAATCAATAAGGATTATTTTAAAAAATTACAAATTTAGAGAGACAAAATGAATTAAAATTTTATATTAAAAATAAAAACAAATCTCTTAACAAACTCTTACATTTAAACAAGAGGAATAACAACAATATTCATTCATGGCAGTTAATCTAAATCCAAAAGAACAACAACAGTGATCCATAGGATACAATTCATGCAAATTAAAATGTTCTAATATCAAGGCTTTAGCAAACTAAATTAGGAAAACTAGATATTACCAACAAAAAAAAAGGAAAACTAGAACTAGTAATAATATTGAACTGAACTCCCATAGCATCAAATAAGATCAAAGATGGGGCTCTAAAATATTCACAATCCATCGTCACCTGTTACATGTATTTGATAAAAGTTAACACAAATGATTATATATAAAAATAATAATATAATATTGCAATCATAAATGACAATACGAACCTGTCATATATTTGACCAAAGATTATATAAATGATTAAGAAATATAGTTCTTATCTTCAAAAATCCAAGTTAAATGAATTAGTGAGCAAGTCAAATATGTCTCTTCTTGTGGTAACTCCCTCTTCTAGGCTTTCTAATTAGAAGAACATTTATTTTTATTTTTTCACTTTCCCATCTAAGTCTCATATATTATAAAGGTTAAATTACACATTTGATTCTTTAATTTTATACAAAGTTTTAATTCGATTTCTTAACTTTAAAAAGTATATTTTTAGTCCTTTAACCCTAAAATTATTAGAATTAAATAATGATTTCTTGTAACAATCATGATTACTTTGAAAATTAAAATTAATATGTTAGCATTTGAGAATGTTTTATCAATATTTAAAATCTCAATGTCATCATTTTTTGTTAATAATTTTAGAGTTAAAAGACTAAAATATTTTAAAGCCGAGGGACCCAATTAAACTCTGTATAATATTAAAGAACTAAATATATACTCTAGGGCGGCAACAAACACATTCTAGCCCCTCTATATAACATGAAGAATAGAACACACATCCGCCCTGTTGGATAGAACATTTACCATCTAAACTAATCACTGAAATTTTGTGATGAAAACCCGAAATTATTGAATCTGATTCCATGTTCCTAAGTTAATGTTCATAATTGAAAGTCTTATGGGGAAAAAAAAACAGATAGAGCAATACTCTATTTAATTTTAATTATAATCGTAAAGAATTAAAGATGGTTGTAAAATAGTCAAAGTTGAAATAGTCTGCATAAAAAGCCAATATTCAAATGTCCAAAAATGTTGTTCCAATCAAACGACAAAGGACATACAAACATGCCATTTTTTGGGGGTAAATGTTCGGTAGTTTATATGCCGGACGGAAGCTTCAAGCCTAACTGAACTTCTCAATTTTTCATACGAGACATTGAAGAGCCCATAAAAATAACACAAGCATAAAACTAGAATACTATGGGTGGATTGATATTATAAATAGAGGTTCAGGTTCAAACCCTCTCAAATAAATAATAAAAATAGAATAAAGAAATATTAAAAATTTTTTGCATTTTTTATTTTTTTGGTCACTCGTCAACATTATCCTCTCATTTAATTTATTCTGTGATTTTCCTTCTCTCTCTCTCTCTCTGTGGTGTTTCGAGGCATGAAAGTATATTTTGAAATCGAATTGCTATATATTCATGTGTTAATGAATATCAAAATCTAAGAAAATGACTGAATCATTATTCTAAAAACAATGAAAGCAAAGAAGGAAATGTTGATATGATAATCATACTAAATGAGATGAAAAGGGAAAACTAAATAAAAGTGAAGAATATCATACCAGGCTACTTAGAATTACGGAGTCCCAAAAGCAAGTAAAGACCATGACAAAATAAATCTGCAGCGATATACAAGTAAATAATCATAAATTATAATTAAATACGAGTAAAAAGACATATATACTAATGATACTAGGACTAGAATGAATACCTTTACCGAAAAAGTGGCATTCAATAATATGAATCTTGAAATTTAGACTGGAAAGCGGTTTTAATGGCTGAGTCATCCCACTCCAAGTTGTCCCACCACGCTTGAGCTCCACGGATAAGTCTCAACTTGGTCCTGGCAGAATTAGAATCAAAAGGTAACTTCTTCAGCTGCTCACAGTGGTGCACTTCAATGGATCTTAGGGAACGGAAAGACAAGACTCTCTCGTGAATGCTCCTAAGATTTGGCAGAAGGTACAATGTCAGCTGTACGAGAGAAGGGAATATAGTATCTTTCTCATCTTCTAATCTCTCTCCCTTAATTAGTTCTTCTACTGACGAGCACTCTTCAACAACAAGTTCTTGAAGGTTTGGAGCATACTTCAACCATGTCAAATGATGTATTGTGTTGACCCGTAAAATTCTCACAGTTCGGAGCGTGGATAGACAACACGCGTCATAAACAGAAGGATCTATCTCAGCAGGTGAAAGTTTCAAGACAAGACGCTGCAGGTGCTTCATTTTTGACATGGTTGCCACTAATAATGGCATGTTAATTTGAACACCTTCAATCTCAAGGCCATATATGGAGCTTTGTAACTCGGCCGATTCAAATAATTTGCTGAGGCTAATCTCAGATTTTATTTGCACCCATATTTCCTCTAAGTTTGATGAGCGCTCCAGCTCCTGAAATTTTTTCTCTTCTCTCACATCTTTGCCAGTTTGCAGAGTTCCATGGGTCTCAAGTCTATACACTTTCAGTTGATGAAGATTTGATATCAATCCTAAAGGAGTATCAGCATCTTTAAATAAAAACAAATGAAGAACCTTCAGGTTTTTCAAATTCTTCAACCCTCTCCAAATGTCTGATGCATTCGTTAAGTTGCATTTCCACAATGAGAGATATTCTAAAAGACTCAAGACACCTAGTTCTGCGTCAGGTACGTTTTCCATTTTGTGTAGTTCCAGGACTTTTAATTGCCTCGCATGTTGGATGTTTTGTAATCCATTTATTGAAACAAATCCAACGATATCAAACTTCAATATTAATGTTATGAGATTTGTCCAGGTTCTGCCTTGTAATTGCATACATGATGTAGCACGTTCACATTTCATTATTGAAATCCTTTCAACCATTTCCCAATTTTCAACACCAGCTCGAGACATTTTCTGTGCATCTTCTTGTACTATAACCTTTTTTTTGTTTCTATCTTGATCTCGTGCAATCCATAATGCCATGTCACGGATGACATCATGCATCTTAATTGAGCACTTCAAAAAGATATCATCTTCAATACCCTCTAACAAGCATGAAACCTTCAACTTTTTAATTATGGAACCACCATGGCGACGCATATCAAGTACACTTCTCATCCCACCATTATTAAGAAATCCCTCCCCTATCCATTGATCAATGAGATTGTACACTTGAATCTCATCATCCTCTGGGTATAATGCACAATATAAGAAACACTTTTTGTGTGTTTCGTCTGGTAGTTTATCATAGCCAAGCTTGAGGATAGAAAACACCTTCGCCTCCAAATTTGAAGCTATGAGTGGAGAACTTCTTAACTTATTCTTTGACTGTTCCCATGTTTCCACTCTTTTCACACCAGCCATGGCGCTTCCTATCACAGTTAATGCAAGTGGCAGCCCTTTACATTCTTTAGCCATTTCCTCTGCTATCTTTGGAATGAGAGGGTCAGATGTTAGAGTTTCCTGGCCAACTTTCATACAAAATAACTCTAACGCTTCTTCCTCTGTTAGAATTTTAACTTCAAATGTTTTAGCATCCATTCCCGCACACACATCCTCAAACCGTGTTGTGAATAATACTTTGGATTGAAAATTAGTTTCCTTCGGATGTGGTACTCCCACCTTTTCCAAGTCCAATCTCTCACATATATCATCTAATAACAAGATGAATTTTTTCCTTTTTAGGAATTCGTAAATCTTTGCTGCCTTTTCATCTTGGTTACTACAACGCTTCCAACTGTCATATTCAATCCCCAACAATTTTCTGATGGTGTCCATAATATTATCCAAGTTGAGACTTTTGGACACCACCACCCACATAATGTAAAAACACGATCTCTTCGCAAGTTCATTATTAATTTTCTTCAGCAAGGTAGTCTTTCCTACCCCGCCCATCCCATATAAGCCAATGATTCCAACATCTTTTTCTTCAATACTTTTCCATACCTTATCAAACATTAAATCTAAGCCCACTGTCTCACAAGAAGGCATCTCAATTGACTTACGTGGACACCTGTGGGCAACTTGAAAATCTTTACAAAACCCTTCCCCTTCAGTTTTTAGTTCATCTATATTCCGCAGGATCTTGACAACATTCTTCCCTAACTTGTAGCTTGACATGCAATTCTTTGGACAACATTTACTTAAACATTTGTTTTGAATTTGGTCAGTTCCACGCAATTGAATATCTTTTATTTCCTGTGAAATATAATATTGTTAATTAGCTTCATCATTCTATACTTTGAAATCAAATTTAATTCTACAGGTGGTAAGATCTCGAACGCTAGCACGCATAGACATATATGAACCTGTGTATGTAATTACATAGTTGTAGATAATCCCGCTTTATTTGTTAATACTTTCTCTAATTCTCAATATAGGAGCTAGTTTATAGGACAAATTGTACTATAAATTAACTCCTATATATGGGACCAGAGACAGTTTCAAATAAAAACAATGGTTAAAACAATATAAACTATATGTTGAATTAAGGGTCAATACAATTTTTAGTTACTAAAATTTGACCTCATTTAATTTTGGTCCCAAAAATTTGAAACCAATGTATTTTATTCTTGAAATTTGAAACCTTATTTAAATTACAGGGGCTAGCGTTTATAGACAGAGTAAATTTGAAAGACTGAAAATATTAGTTTCAAATTTTATGAACCAAAATCAAAATGAAGTCAAATTTCAGATATTAGAAATCAAACCTTGGATTAAATAATTATATACAAGTACTAAATAAGGAAATTAATTACCCATGGATCCTAACCATTTGTAATGCAAAAATTTGATATGTAAATATTGAAATTCGACTTGTAAATTTAAGATTGAGGAAGTAATTAATTTCCTTGTTTAGGATCTATTTAATGTTTTCGCTTAAAGTTTTGAAGAAGCATAATTGATTGGCAGGTTGCATGTCATTGTCTTTTCTTAGTTGTTGTCACTTTGATTTTTCACAACTTCAACAATACTTTTCAATGGCATGAGTACTGGTGTAAGGTGCTTATGGATGGAACGGTACTTTTTTATTTGAAAACCAACTATACATGTAACATAAGAATTCATGAAAGAGAAAGTCATACAAAGAAAATAGATAAAAATTAGCAGCAATCACAATTTGGCAAATATTAAAAGTTTCCTGTAATCTTGAAAGACAAAGATAAACAAATTCAAAATATCCATCAAAAAATAGCATATAACCCATAAAAAATATAATCAAACTGACATTTGATAAGTAAGATAAATTTATAAAATAAAATATTAGGACATGGCCGCATGGCCATCTCAAAAATTTTTGGAACGGAAATATCCGTAATATTTACCGAACAACTTCTTATATTTAATATTTTAGATTCATTTATAGGTTTGAACATTTTTAATTTCATTTTAAATAACTATGAAATGTAAAATATAATATATCGGAATAATGTTTTTTATTTTAACTATAGTTCCCATTAGCTGGTTAAAAAAAAAAACTATAGTTCCCATTATATAAATGAATTATATAACAAAAAAATAACCATAAAATCTAACTAATATGACTGATTTCGAATATAATTGAATTTCATTATGAAGGTTTCTTCTTGCAACTATGGACTCTAAATTTAATTTAAAAATTAAATTAGCTTAAGAAAGTTAGTTAAACAAATAGTAGAAGCAAATAGATGTGTAGCGTCTTACTGTCCCAGAGCTTTGAAATTAATTTTGAAAATTGAAATTGAAAATTCAATATGCCAAATACCTTTTGAGTTTTCTCGACTCTGTTCAGCCAGCCACTCACTCGGTGAGCCCTTTGCCTCTCTCCTGCATTTTCTTCTTCTTCGAAAGTTGCTTCCACATCTTCCTTCATCTCTTCAACCTTCTTCCATTTTTCTTCCAGCGATTGCAGATTCTCTTCCAAGTCGTCGATATAAGCAGCTTCTTGGTTGAGGTAACAACAGCAACACTTGATCATTTCCCATAAAGGTCCAGTGATGGAAGATGGATCCATATATTGTTAATGGATCTCTGATCGATTGAAACTCACTAGGCTACTTCGTCTTCTATCTTCCTTCTCTGGAATTATGTTTCCACAGAAAATTTCAGGCCCAGAAAGTTAAGCTTTGGATAATGTCTAATACCAACCCTCCAGATCTATGCTACGATAATGCTTTTCTGCTTAACTCAGGAATGGATAAACGAAAAGGAAAGAAAAAGAAAGAATCAGATACAACGCTTTCTTCTCACGTTAAGCATCCGTGCCAAACACGGTCTTGCTCTCTAATAATGCTGGTCTTATATATTCTTTTTTGCATAAAGTAGCATCCAACGCTCTCAGTCACGTCCAGCATCTTGATCTTATTTGTAGTGCGCCCAGCATGCCTTGATGTTATTTTTATATTATACATTTGGTAACCTAATCTTATTTATGATTCAGGATATTAGATATACTGCAAATAAAATTAAGATGTTAAACGTATTAGAAAAATAATATTATTAGAATGATGGGCCCGACTAGAAAATAACATCAAAGTCTTGGATCCTACTTTACCCTTCTTGTTAAAAGAAAAAACGCACAGAGAGAGAGAGAGACAAGTAGTAAAGAACAACTAGGCATAAAGCTTTCTGATTTACAACCAAGGAAAGTATAAATAGAAAAAGAAAAAGGAAAGGAAAGGAAAGAAAAGAAAGAAAATAGACTAATAGAGGGATGAAGATGGATCGATGCATTAAATTTCCCATTAATTTATACATTCTTTTATTTCTCACAACATAAATGGGGCACATCAAGATTGACCCAAAGCATGAAATAAAATTGTTCGTTGATGTTATTAACAAGGATGCTCAAAATTTGGTTTGATTCTGTTTTGAGCAAACCTGAACCAAATCCAATCAACTCGGTTTACATAAAAGAAATAAAATTTAATTTAGTTTTTTAAAATATATAAGAACGATTTGGTTCCAGTTTTTATCAGTTTACTGTATATAAGTGTGGAAATAATAATAAATCTATAGAGAATACATAAGTATGTATATAGTATATAATATAACTACCAATAAAACACTCCTTGTCCTTTTTTCCATCTTTCTTCTCCAAGCTTCTTAGTACTTCTTCATTCAACAGACACGCATATATTCTTCGCTTTAGCTTTTGTCTCTTGCTTCATGATGAATGAACCATTGTGAATTAGATACCGTTGCTAGATCTCATAACGATGTGATGCCCTTATGTTTGCGAAGCACATGTACTCTTAGGTTACGATTGGTAGTAAACATTGAAAATAAGGGATTGAGATTAGAATTACAACTTAGAAAATCTATTAAAAGAGTGTTTAGTATAAGAAATTGTTTGATATATAGCCAAACTCATGTATGTGAGATTGGAGAATACCATGGGAGGAAGTGGTATTCCCTAATCCCACCTCTATGGGTTTGTCTAATTCTATTTTAATGATTTTTTTTTCAATTACATTGAAAATTCCAACATCTCATTTTCAATGTTTCGTACCAAACGATATGTTAGTTCATCGCGTATGACCTCAATGCTTATTCCACCAGGGCCACTGTATAATTGTGGGCCTTTTTGAATGAGTCCACTTCATCAGTGACCTCACCCAATTCTTCTTCTGCTCCATCTGCCGCCATTAACTCCCCATCTTTCATTCCCACATATTTTGACTCCTTAATGCTATCCTCCAAAGAAATCATGTACAGCTCGCCACTTTTCATCTTGTTGCCTAGTATATCTCGTGTTCTTTTCTCAACTCTTGCTCTTTCAAATTCACATTCACGGCTTGATCCACTACACTAAGGGCACGCTCTCTGTTTTCTGTTTTTTTAATTTCTCGCTGTCGCTGCTTTGTCATTATCCCCTTTTTCTTCCCCTCACAAAATATACAACGTTAGTGCATTGGGATTGAGGTACTCGTGCCTCATTCTCATGCACATCAGTACTCCGTACCTCCCCTAACGTACCCGCCACAAGTACAACCTCCTCCACATCTGCAAGGATGCTAGAACACGACCCCAGATGATCTTATTGTGTTTAGTCCCCCCTTGTTATCTTTACTTTTTTTATGGCAGCGATTCCTTTACACTATTCCCCATTGATCCCGGTAAGGTTCATTAACTTGCACATCTTGGCCTTTCAGCATTTCCTAGTTCAATCTCCCTTCACTACTTTCTCCTTTATTTCTCTCCCCTGTTTTCTTTCTATGGGGACATGTTTCACTCCTATGACCATAGACACCATAGTTAGTGCACAGCATATGGAGTCGTACTCCAAAAAATATTCCTCATCTTCAAATTTAAATCCCTGCATTAATTGTTTTCCAAGATCAACAAGGACACATATAGAGCATAGTGCCCTCTTAATTGGCAGGAAGTATTAAAATCAACTTTGATCATTTCCCCAATCCTATTGCCAATAATAGTAAGAGCTTCCTGGTCATAATACTCTAAGAAAGCACTCGGCATTCTCACTTACACTGCTTCCTTATCTATTCTTGCTCTTGAAGGAATAAAACGTGGTTCTCATGGCCTCACTGTCAAATAATGATCATAAATCATCCATGGACCCCCTAACAAAGCATTAAAATAATCCTTTCTGTTGGAAAGGTTAACCTCAAAACAACCATATCCAATGTTGATGAGGTTGAGAACTCCTCTTTTGCCTTAAAGAGTCTGTAGCCAAGTGAGCAAAGCTTCGCAGCCAATGCTTCTATCAAGCAACTTCACAATAATAGCCTTGCGCCAAGCTCTGTAAAGTCTCTTCTTCATTCTCCCTAAAAAGGAAAAAGTTGGAAAGTTTCTAGTTAGATCCTCAGTCGTTCTAAAGAGAAGCTCTTAATTGTCTTTGTCCAGAGATTTTTCTGATATGTCATCATCAGAAAGATCATCAGTCAACTTCTCATTATCGTCTTCAGAGCATTCTTCATCTCTGTCATTGCCTTTCGACTTATCAGCAAAGAAAGGTCCACCATGGCTACAAGTGGCACTCTTAGAAGGCCTAACATGATGAGTCTCCTTTGTTTGTAATTTAGGCCAAGTCCCATGGAGAATGTTGTCTTCATTTCCTTGATACGCATTCTTGATTTCTTTGGAACTTCGCATAAGCAGAGCATGTTCTCCCTGAGAAGGAGGAATTAGTGTTCTTTTTCCTATAGAGCATGAGAGCCATCTTTTTAATTGGCGGACCAAAAAAATTTATTAGTGGGGCAAAAATTATACCAAATATAAGCATTAGGATAAAGTATAATTGTAATACCTTAACTTTATACAAAGTTTCATTTTGGTTCTTTAATTTTAAGAAGTATAATCTTTTAGTCTTTTAACCTTAAAACCATTGACAAAAAACAATGATATTGGGATATTGAATATTGATAAAATATTTTTAAATGCTAAAATATTAGGTTTAATTTTTATAAAAACCATAATTGTTACAAAAACTTATTATTGAATACTAGCGATTTCAGGGTTAAAAAACTAAAAATATATTTTTTTAAATTAAGAGACCAAATTAAAATTTTGTTTTAAGATAAAGCGCTAAATGTATACTTTAGCCTGAGTATTAATATTTTTCAAAATGAAATACTAAATTTTTATTAAATTATTATAGAAGTAAAAATTGTTATAATTTAAGACAAAGGAAAGAATACAACAATTGTCAAATTATAATAATTTAAAATTACAATTAAATAAGTATTAGCTATTGAAATAATAAATCGTTATTATCGTTTAGAAAATAAAAGTAAAAATTTTATTTGAAGAATATTTTATAACATTTATGCCTACTACAAAATCAACAATATAAATAGCATTACTTTTCCTGGTTGAATGACGGAGAAAACGATCAAGTGGTGAAGATTTTAAATTTAAAAGAAAAACTAAAGTGGGGAGGAATATTTTAGCAATAAAAATTTTCTTGCGAATGACTTATATTTGCTGAGTGATCTGATCAACGAGGTTTCGTCCCAATAAGCTCTTCTTCTTTTTTCTTGGTGGCTAAACTCTGACTTAACACCAAGGAGATCAATACTTCCTTCCATAAAGAGCCTTACGGTGTAATTTGAAGACTCGCATGATATTTTTTTTTTTTGAGTGAAACTCGGATGATAGTTATTGTTGAATGCAAATCATCCATTTGAAGATATACGCCCCGATAATTACTTTTAAACTAAAAAACCACATGAGAAACCATGTCTCACAACAGTCTAGATTATCCTCTCGGTTTTTTTTTTTGGGTCAAAGATTATCCTCTCAGTTTGTCCATTTGACCTACGGTGGCTGGTTGTGCCAAATTGCAATCGAACACGATATTTTTGGTACTCCATGGAGTCCTAAAATTTCCTTAACATACAACCATGTCAGTATACATCTCTAGGGGATGGTTAGCATAATAGGTAAGAAGTTTGTCGCTTTAGTTAATTGGTTTGCAATCACTCAGGTCGCATCAAAATTTAATGTAGTTCCCATCCCATAATAAAATTCATAGAAATATTATATTGTCTCATTTCTACTACAAAGTTTCAAAAAGTTGGAGTAATCCAATGCTTTATTTTCAGCCTTTGATAATGTAACATATTCTACTTATGTTTGGTATGAGAGAAATGAAAGTGAAAGAATGGGAGAAAAAATTTCAATAAATTCGATTTTAAAAAATAAAGAAGTAGAATTAAAACATTTTAATTAATTTTTCCTACGTTTTAATCTTACATGCTCTCTATCAAAATTTTATAACATCACTTCTCTAGTTATTTAAATTGAGATCATTAAAATTTTCACTGCTTTTTCTTCCCTTCCAATTCCTTCATACCAGACATAGAGTAAATCTTAATACATTTTGGTAGTTCTCAGTAGGGGTGTGCATGAAGTCCAAATACCCGCCGAGGCCGAAGAAAAATTGCCCAGCCCAACCCCAAAAAAAAGGGCCAGAAAAAGAATGAACATCTTTTGGCTGGGCATTTCATGGGCAGGGCTGGGTATCGAGCAGGACAGGCTGCCCTGCCCATTTGGCCTGCCCGAATTTTATATATATAAATATATATTATAATTTATGAAATAAATTAATATATTACATTTCTTTACCAAAAAAAGTTATCTCCCTCTTCTTTGCAATTTAATTTATTATTGTCACATGTCTGTTAGTTTTTCATTTTAAGAGATCTAATTCTTCTAAAGAAGCAATAGTATCTTGCTTTTAATTTGTTCTTTGTGAGCTTTATTGGGTATATCCTATTGTATCTTGCTATTTTAATGTTGACTATTTATAAGTCAGTCTTCCCCTCTATGCCATTAACAACTTTCTTTGTTAGAGAATGGAGTTCATACATTACATATTTGTATAAATCAACAATTTTGAATATTTATATAGATAGAAAAACAAGATTAGGGTAGGAGTAGGGAAAGAAAATTGGAATTTAATTATCCAATTACGTGTTTTATTTTTTATTTAATTTATATTTAGTTATTTTGTATTAATTTTTTATGAACAAGTCATATAATGGAAAGAAGTCTTTTAGTTGTATGGACTGTTAACTGTATTGTATTGCATAATAAGTGTTTGCATATTAAAAGTGGTTATATTAAATTATTATAAGATTTTAAGATTTTTTTCTTTTTCTTTTTACAATTATTTTCACCTATTTTTATATGGTTATATTATTCCTGTTAGTCTATTGTTTCAATTTTAATATCTTTTTTGCAATTCTTTAGATAACATTTAATTTTTGCCACTTAAATGGATAATCAAGCTTCTATTACATTGTCATCTCCGACCCTCAATGAATATCTCAATGTGCTTTAACCCCTTTTCAATTTTTTCAAATGTTTATTTTTTCAACTTTCTGAAGATTGATACAAACCGTTTGAATTTTAAGGCTTTAATTACAATCTTGAGAGTTATTTTGTTCTAAATAGATTATGAATATTATTTATTTGGATATTTGCTAAGACTTGTTTTGAATTATTTCTGGATAATTTTAATGTGTGAAAATGTAAAATTATAAAATGTAGTTTTCAGATATGGACGAAAGTTTTTTTACATGTGATATCGGCAGGTCATCACCATTTGGGCAACGAAGCCTGCCTTGCCCAACCCAAAATGGTTAGGGTTTCTATGGGCCAGGCACCGGGCTGCAAAATACAACTCGCTCATACTTCAGACTGGGCATCGGGCAAGGGTCTGTCTTACCCACCCTGTCCATGTGCACCCCTAGTTCTCAGGTAAATGGCATATATATACCAACTCTTATAAATCTCTTCCAATATGGCATTTCTCAACTACTCCTCATGAGCATGCACGCAATTTCACCCATATGGTGCCATATAATCCCACTAATGACCAACACAAAGTCATGCAAATTCTCTTATCCTAAGTAAATATTGTCATATGTCCTTGAAGGAAAAATAACGTAGATAGAGAAAGCAAGCGTAACGGGTTAGTTCCAGGTCATGATGTTGGTAGCTTTCGCAGTATCTTAACTATTAGAGTTTGATAGAATGGCACAGTAGATGCACCAAGAACAGATAAGAGAACACCAGAAAGCTCAACAGTTTAGAGTGAAGAGAATGGGTGGAGGCATCTCCTATTTATGGGGCCAGGGTGGCTCTTATTTCAAGAAGGTGCAATCTCTCTCATTATCATGGGATAATATTCTGATTCCACAATCGATAATTAATGTCTAATTGATTTCTCTTCAATCAATCAAGTACTTAATGTTTGAATGAATATTCCCTAATCAATCATTAATTGCTTTAGATTTGTGATTAATTTTCTTGATCTGAGAGATTTTCTTCTCTTAGATCAAGTAGTCTGACCCATCAAGTGCGGACTTGGGTCCAATGTCTAACAATCCTTTAAGAAGGCATTTTGTATAAATATTGTACTGATCACTAGCACCTCAGACGAACAAGAAATATACAAATTAGCATCCTAAGACGCTCAACTAGCTAGAATTTGTGCATAATCATAATGGCCATGTCAATGGGCCCAACTTCCTATTTAAGGCATCCATCATCACAATAGCCTTGTACAGGTGGATGTGTAATTATAGTTTTTTAATGCCTCCATCTATCTTCGTCATTGTCTCAGACATTTGTAATTCGTGGTCTAGTTAAAAAACATTTTGCTTCAAACATAGGAGTTGCTAAGAATCATGTTTAACTCCTTTTGATCAAACAAGTATGTCAAATTTTCGTTATCACTAGACACTTCGAATTGGATATTATACAAGTGGTGTCTCCGAACCATTAAAATAATAAACACCAAATAAGTTAGCTCCAAGTCATAAGTAGGATTCAGAAGGCGTATAACACAACACGTCTATGAGACAAATTCATTAGAAAACTCTAAGTTGCATAATTCTTTTTTCGATTACTTGAAGGCAAAGGCCACGACCTAAGCCTTTCTTTGAGGCATACATGATTATACTCCGTGTACGAGTCTCCTTTGGATTAGTTTGAGTATAAATGTCAATCTTACCTGTAGCTCTTGTAACATAACCTTTCACATTTTTCATCCCAATCAAATTCAAAAGGTTGATATTGGTTAATAGCTAGTTGAGAAAGCCTCTTTATAAAACATTTTATGATATCCTGACAACACAAGGAACTAATATTTCTATGATCAATCGAGGTTTGTTGCAATTCAACATTGCCTTTACCTTATTAAAGTGCACTACTTCTCTTTCTGTTGAGATCATATGCTTAAGAAATTTTCTTTCCCTCAACATGGTTCTTTAGCATGCTCCCCTTTTTCTCTAGAGTATATTAGAAGAGAATGTGAGGGAATATGAGATAGGAAATAATTATGATTTTACTATATTTCTAGGATATTTGAATTATTTGGGTTTATTATGATTTTATGATTTATTTAGATTTATTGGTATTTTAATATTTTTATTAGAATTAGTCATTATTATTTTCATTTTTATTATTATTTTATATGAGTAGATCTAGGATTTCCATTCTCCGTACGGACTAGACTTGAATTATTGAATTACATTGATGGTTACTTTTCTCTCTGAAATTTCTCTCTGTTATGTGGTTTCTCTGATCTTTTCCCTTCTCCTCCCTCCTTTCTCTTCTATCTTTTTCCTTTTCCCTACTCGTTGTACATTAGAATGTCACTAAGGAACATGGCTATCAATTTATCCAAATAGGGATGAAAGACATGATTCACATAGTCCATAAATTTTGTCGAGACATCAGTCAACCCAAATAGTATGATAATGAACCATAGTATCTATGACAAGTCCTTAAAACTGTCTTGGGAATGTCCTCAGCGTAGACCTTTAATTGATTATAACCTCGATTACAAGTCAGTATTTGAAAACATTGAAAGTTTAGCCATTTGATAAATTAAATAATCTATTTCTTAATGCATAACTTAAAGTTAGTGTTCTTCTATTTGACAAACAAAAAAACATAACACACCATGGGGACACCCTAGATTTAAAAAATCCCTTTAGAAATACTATTTTTAATTTTTCCTTAATTAGGAGCTCGTTTGACTTTTAATTTAGTCATAAATATAAAACTTTAATCCACTTAGTGTCTCATATTTTATTTATTTTTTCAAAATAATTTTTGTAGTAGTTGCATATGTTAAAAATTCCATCAACTAGTAATTCTAGTTAATATACATGATTAGTAAGGGTATTTTACAGAAAATAACATCTATTTATTACAAATCACTAACCTAACAAACTTCTTTAATTTACTCAAATTAGTCAATTAACTTTTATCAACGTGCAAGTTGTACCAATGTCATGTGGGAGGGAGCTCTAAATTGGGGTTGTGCTAAGATTCAGGTTTATGAGAAATTCCAGCTCCCTTTCTAATGGTACCGTAGTGATCTCCTTAGAGAAAACCTGAAGTACTAATCACAATTGGAATGTTCTCCAAAGTTTAAACTTGCACAAAAATGAATACAAGAAAGTATTGACATTCATTCCGAAGATACCGGTAGCTTGAGCAAAAGACAAATTATACAACTCCTCAAAGCGCTTATTAAAAAATGACTTACCATATAAAAATGTGCACAGTATAATCCAAACATGCACAAAGAAATCGATACACATATCTCTCAGGGTGGAGACACAACAATTTGTTGGATGATTTTCATTCAAATTAATAATTCTTTCACAGTTTAAATTAATCTATGAGAATGAGACCTACAAATGAAATTTAGTTAGTTGTTTTCTTTTAGTCAATTATAAATTTTGAAGTTTATCTCATAAATTGTGAAGGAGGGCTTTTAAATTTTTACACATCTTAACAGCTTCACATTTTACTTGTTAAAAACACTTTAAAATATTTTTTCCAGCCCTCAATATTCTAATTTAATTTGTGATTTATCCAGTGCTAAATGTGTTTTGAAGCGTACCAAATATCCTAAAGTATTCTTTATGCAATTTTGTCTCTAAAACTATTTTCGGCAACAGGAATAAACACTCTAAATTTATACTGAAAAGGTATTTTTAAAGAAAATAATTTTTAAATATTAAAGGGTTAAAGGGACAATTCTACTGCTATCTTATTTTCTAAGTGTACTGATTTTTTAATAGTACAATTTTATTTATGATTTTTTTTCTCAGTTTTACCCATATTCTATCATAAATAAATTTGCATCACTAAAAATTGGGTTTTTGCTGTTAGGTATACCGTATACCTGAAAAAATAAAATGATAAAAATTATTTTAAAATATTTTTAAGTTAAAAAAATAATTTTCCTTGAATTTGTGCAGGCCAGTTCTACTGTGATCTTTTCACCCCACCACCATCACCTCTCTGCTAAACTGAATTGCGTCCCCGATGAATCTTCCATTGCCTCCAGAGTCCAGATCCGTAGCCATGATTCTTATTTTCAATTGTCGACAACACGAACTATAATTCTTCAATTCGGTCCTGAACTCAACTTCTCTCAATGGACATTCTCTTCGCTGAGATCCAAGCAGACATTCGCTCCAATGACGCGCTTCGGCAATCCGGGGCTCTTCTTCAAGCTCTCCAACAATCTGCCGCCGGCCGTGACATCTCTGTCATTGCCAAATCCGCCGTAGAAGAAATTGTCGCCGCCCCTGCTTCCGCAGTCTGCAAAAAGCTAGCTTTCGATCTCATTCGCTCCACTCGCCTCACCCCTGACCTATGGGAGACCGTCTGCGGTGGCGTCCGCTCTGATTTCCACTTCCCTGATCCCGATGTCACTGCTGCTGCTGTCTCCATTCTGGCCGCCATTCCTTCTTACCGTCTTGGTAAGCTCATCACGGATTGTAACAAAGAGATCTCTGACTGTTTTGACTCGCCCAGCGACAATCTTAGGTTCTCGATCACAGAGACCCTAGGCTGTGTGCTCGCTCGCGATGACCTTGTCACACTGTGTGAGAACAACGTCAATTTACTCGATAGGGTTTCCAGTTGGTGGACGCGTATTGGGCAAAACATGCTTGACAAATCTGATAATGTTTCAAAAGTTGCATTCGAATCTGTTGGGAGGTTATTTCAGGAGTTCAATTCCAAGAGAATGAGTAGGTTGGCTGGTGACAAGCTGGTTGACAGCGAGAATTCGCTCGCTATTCGATCCAATTGGGTTTCATCTATGGTGGACTTTGTGTGGAAGAAGCGTAACGCTTTGATGGCTAGGTCTCTAATATTGCCCGTGGAGAGTTTTAGAGTAACAGTGTTCCCTATTGTATATGCAGTGAAGGCTGTAGCTTCGGGTGGGTATGAGGTTATTCGTAAGCTTTCAAAGTCGTCTGGTACTGTGACTGGGAGTGTTGAGGTTGATTCCAATGCTGAAAAATTAGTGGGAGTTTCAGATGTGGTTTCGCATTTAGCACCATTCTTAGTTTCTTCACTGGAACCGGCATTGATTTTTGAAGTAGGGATTAATATGTTGTATCTGGCTGATGTGCCTGGAGGAAAGCCTGAATGGGCATCACAGTCAATAATTGCAATTCTTACACTGTGGGATAGACAAGAATTCTCTTCAGCCAGAGAAAGTATAGTTAGGGCTGTTGTCACGAATCTTCATCTCCTTGATCTTCATATGCAGGTGACTCTCCCCTGTCTAACATGCTTTACTCCAAAGTGACAGTATCTCTGTTCATACGTTTTGCTCTGTAGTTTTTGCTGTTCCTGAATGCTTAACCAGCCTCCTACTAAATGATACGGCAACTTGAAACAATTAGCTTGGATCAGTTGTGCGAAATTTTGGTAGCTTGCATGAGATCTCAGGCTGATTCCTGCGGGCTAAAAGAAAGTAAAGGACCGCATTAACCCGAAAGCATTATGTCAGAGTATTACTGGTTTTTTTATGATGCTTGGAAACTTATGATAGTACGTAGCTAGATTTTTTGTTGTCTTTATTATTAACATATAATGTCTTTCGTGTATTTTATTCTGACTCATTTTTAATGGCTATTATGTTTATAGTTTGTCTGCCATTTATTTTTGTGCTAAGGGATTTATACGAATATAAATTTTGATGGTTTCGTAGACAAACTCAATAATGCTTTGATATTTCAATGCTTATTTTGGGTTGAAAAAGACATCCACTAATTATTTATTAATGATCATGTGCAGGTATCATTGTTCAAGAGGCTACTTTTAATGGTGAGAAATCTAAGAGCAGAATCCGATCGCATGCATGCTTTAGCTTGTATATGTCGAACAGCTCTCTGTGTTGATCTTTTTGCCAAGGAAAGCGTCCGAAGAGGTCAGAAGCCTCTTGCTGGAACTGATATTGCTTCTCTTTTTGAGGATGCTAGAGTCAAAGATGATCTTAATAGCATTACAAGTAAAAGCATATTTAGGGAGGAGTTAGTTGCATCACTAGTGGAAAGTTGTTTCCAGTTGTCTTTGCCTTTGCCTGAGCAGAAGAACTCAGGAATGGAGAGCCGGGTTATAGGAGCTCTGGCATACGGAACTGGTTATGGTGCATTAAATTGGACAGAGCCTGCTTTGGAAGTGGTTGAAGTTTGTCGGCCTTGTGTTAAATGGGACTGTGATGGTCGGACCTATGCAATTGACTGCTACTTGAAGTTGCTTGTTAGGCTATGCTATATATATGATACAAGGGGTGGCGTAAAAAGAGTGAAGGATGGAGCCTCTCAGGATCAAATTTTGAATGAGACAAGATTGCAAAATTTGCAACGGGAACTTGTGAAAGACTTACATGAGGTAGCCAGATAGTGCATGTAGTAGCATTTACCATTCAGAAAGTCATTTAAATCATTACCTGGCAAAAAAGTGTTTTAATATGATGCTTTCTCTTTCATCTGTTAGAATGTATGTCTGCCATGTTTAGACGGCATCACATTGTTCCTATTATTGCACAAGTATGCTCTTCTTGTAAAGAAATCTGGCCAGCCCATGTCATCCCTCTTTCACCTTATTTAGTGGAGTCACGTCCTTTTGAAACCTAAACATATTGTCTTCTACCTACGTTGATATTGTGGTCCTCTGACAGTTTACTTGCTTCCAAAGCTTCTACCATGAAATCAATAAAACTAGGTTAATGGCGATGTTTCGTGGATGAAACACCTTGTCAAACCGAAATGTTATTCCATGTGTTAGTTTCTTGTATGATATAAAAGATGTATTTGCTAAGACTATAGTGGTTATTGAGGGGAAAAAGGGAAAATTGAAAGGGAAAAAAAAAAGAGGTGTGACCTCAGGGATTTGGAGTGGCTTTGGCTCAAGATCTTTATGCAAAGCCATTTCAACCTAAAAGCTTGACCTATTATGTAAAAACCCAGGAAAGGTTTATATTATCATCTTTTATACGCCCCTCATGCAAAATCCCTTTAGGATTGAAGCATGACAAAAACATAAGCCCATTGCATTAAAAAAATTTGTGTTTAAATTAAGTTAATTAGGAGGATGGAAGCAGCAAGAATCAAACTATTGTGCACCTGGTCATATGGGTACTAAACACTGTCAAGGATTATTTTGGATTTCTCCCTGACAATTTTGATTCATAAGGGGAGACATTTGGTTTGTTTTGTTATTTTTCACGAAAGGAAGACAATGGCTGATGACCTTGATCTTCAAGAGGATTAAGACTAATGAATTGTTATTTATTACTTTGTACTTTCTTATTCTTAAAGCCATATGAGGATTATGATGACTTGAATGTTGATATGTTACTTTGTGGTTTTGAATCTTTTAGGTCCATGATTTGCAGTCATGACATGGCAGATTAATAAGCATGCCTTATTTTTTTTCATTCATTGTATTTGTCACTTTTTGAATGATTGAATTTTGTTTAATAACGTTATACATGCAATTCAATTTATCTTTAAATTTTGGCGGTCATGAATCTTTTCATTTTGCAGTCCAAAGAGTTGTTTTAGCTAGACAGAAATATATTAGATATTGTTTACAATCTATTGTGATATGCCAAGAATGAATATTTCCTAGTTTCAGCCATAATGTAAACTAAGGTTCTTATTGAAAGAATAAGATTTTATTTTACCCCTGTAGATTTGTTCTTTACTGTTTTATCTGTCATCAATGACTAAGTGCTGGATGACTTGTTTTTCTCACGCATTTGGTTTGTTGTATTCGTATGTCCTCAGAACTAGCTGTTTGGTTCCTATTGTAGAAATTGAATTACTGTTCTTTGTTTGCAAATTATCTTGCATTTTTGTCAATGTTACAGGTGAATACCCCAAGAATATTGGCCCGACTTATTTGGACTATTTCAGAACACATAGATATAGAAGGATTGGATCCACTTCTAGCAGATGATCCAAATGATCCCCTCAATGTCATGGTATCAAATATTCACAAGGTTCTTTTCAACATAGATTCGTCTGCAGAAACAACCAATAGGGTTCAAGATGTCCAGGCAGTT